GACTGTTCCCCAACTGAGGCTCCTGTTTATTAGTTTGTATCTGACAAATTCCCCACGAGCAGATGTTGTCGCCCACACGGCAGCTTTTCAGTGGCGTCTGTGTTCCTCCCGTGTTTCCTGTTACCCCATCCAGCTAGGAGGGACCGGCATAGAGAGCGCGGGTTGCCCCACAGTGGCAGCGCCTGCCCAGGCACCTCCCCCGAGCGCCTTGCAGTCGGTCTACTGCTCTTGCTGCCTGAGTCCGAGAGTGCTCATGTCCTCCGGAGAGACAGCGGCCGAGCGGGGAACGCACTCCCGGCTGGGCGTGGCCGCGCTCAGTCTGCTGTCTTCACACCTTCAGCCTGCCAGGACTTGGGGTGTGTGTGCACACATGCCCAGTGTTTCCCAAGCTGTCAGGGACAGGATTCGAACCATGTGGTCAGCCACGTGGATCAGGGTCCCTTAACTGCTGGGCTGGGGCTGGCCCATTGCCCTCCACTTTTTAAATTTAATTTTTATGTAGTAACTATATTTTCAGGCAGGTCTCACTAGGTCACAGTCCTCCTGGTCAGCCTCCCGAGGAGCCGGGAGTGTACACGGTGCCCAGACAGGTCACCCTGGGGAGCGGGGCCCTCGGACCTCTTCTGAGGGCTGCCCGGTTCACAGCATGTTCTCAGCTCAGTTACACTCTGTTAGGTTGAATTCATCCCAGGTTTGTTTTAATACTAACAGAAGCTGACATGAGAACAGACTGGGAGTTACAACCAGTAAGAAGGGGCCAGCAGCTGGCATGGCAGTCAAGGCGGTGGACTGCCCAGCTCACCCGCGGTTGGAGTTGCAGACTGGCCGCTTGGGCTCTCACTTTGCCTCTCTGTGAGTGCACATGCCCTGCAGCAAAGTTAAAAATAGCAATAATAAAGATAAAAAGAATTGAATAAATATTTTAAAAACTAGGAAGTTGTGTAATGAGAGTATCCTGGTCTCTGGAGTGCAGCCACTGATTCAGGACACCTGTCCACAGAAATGGCAGTCACAGGCTCGGCCGCATGGCAGTAACGCGGCTGGCCCCGGGAAGGGATGCCTGGTTCTCCCTGGGCCTTCCTGAGCCTGCTGGGTACACGTGCCAGTGAGCTGGGCTGGCTGAGTCTGGAGGGGACCACACGTGGGCCCCTGCTGCAGGTACCCCTCTCTCACTCTCTCTCTGTCTCTCTTTCCCATGGAAGAATAAATGAATAAACTTAAAGGCAGCGAGGGTGGGGCCTAGCCAGTGGCATGGTGGTTAAGGTGGCTGGATCCCACGTGGTTGAATACACGGTGAGCCCTAAGCCCTGCGGCGGGAGACGGGGCCATGTGCGTGCCTGCCCAGACTCCCAGCAGGAGGAAGAGATGCTGAAAGAACTGTGGTAGACCGCACTCTGGCCGGAGGATCCAGGGCTCTGCCTGTCTCCTGCATGCACAGGCCCTCTGGCAGCCATGAGATGACTGGCAGTTACGGTCCTGAGCCCCTGTCCCAGCCTGCTTCCCCCAACACTGGCTCCAAGTCTCAGACTTCACACTGAGCTCTGCGATGCTGGGGGAGCTGCGGAACTGCACCCCGTCCTGGTCCTGCCCACCTCTTTGGTGCCTGGAGCCATTCCTTCTGCTTCCAGAGAGCTGGCGGCTTCCAGCGCTTTCCCAGCCTCTCCCTGAGCCACCCCCCCCCCTTCTTTCTTGCACAAATGTTTATCTTCACAGGAGGACAACTGTGAGCCAGAGGGACAATAGGGAAGAAGGACGTCCCAGGTTCTCAGCCAGGGGCGAGGGCTGAAGGCTAGGACAGTGGAGGCCCTCTTTAAGAGCAGGAGCACAGAATGCAGAGGGCACAGTGCAGGCGTCTTGGAAGGCCCACAGGGGAGAGCCGGAGCTGACTCCTTAGCCAGGGCCTGTGCGCTCCTGTGGGGAGGAGATGAGCTCCGCAGTGGAAGCCATGCTGGAAGTGAGGTTGGGCCTAGGAAGTCACTGTTTTCAGGGCTGAGCTTTGCCTGGGCCCTGCTGCCCTGGAGAACAGCAAATGGGATTCTGAAAGACAGCTTACTGTAGGGGACGTCCCTTTCCACGTATGACTAGGTAGGAGTCATTGATGCGCCCCTCCCGTTTACCTAGGAGGGTGCCAGGCACAGACCCTCCAGCCCGTGCACTGTGGACGGAAGTCTGACTGCTTTTTCCTATGTTTCCAAAGTCCTTTCAAGAGAGCCTAAGAGAAGTCAGGCCCACAAACACTGACAGAACATTGTTCCCCCATTTAACAGGGTCCTCCCTGCATCCTGTCCTGGCAGAGTATCTATGAGATGTATATTCAGCTGGTTACAGTATGCTATTCTGCTAACCTCTTCCCAAGACACAGAACCTCCCTTTCCTTGAGATGTAGATTGAGCATGTCCTTGTCCATCTCTTCCCAGGACACAAATCTTTCCTTCCAATCACCAGCCTCGGGATTGTGGAACCCACCTATGACCTACAAGTCCCCTCCCCCTTCACAAGTTCTGCCTTTTTAGGCCAGACCAATGGAAAATCTCTTCACTAGATTATGTCTGTCAATCTTGAAAACAAATAAAAGGAACCCCTGACTGTGATCACCCCGAGAAAGGCATGTATGCCTCTCCTCTGGGCCTAGGTCACTCATATTTGGCTTGGAAATAAGCCTCATTATTAATTTTTAGTTGGTTGTTTTTCTGTCCACAGCCCCATCACCCGTGGGGAATGCTGAGCCACTGCCCAGCAGAACAAGACAGCGGTCCGCTCAACCGAGCGCGGGCTGGAGAACTTGTGCCCACCTGGCCTGAGCCAGCCCTCCTGGGCACAGGCTGGCCTCGGGGTCCAGCTGCCGTCCACACAGGCTTTCCCACTTCCCCAGGCCGGCTCTGCCCCCTCCTTAGCCCTCTCTACCTGCGACTCCAGATCCACTCCAGACCACAAGACCTGAGCGCCCCAGCGACAACGCTTTCTTCTTTTAACCCTCATGTCCAGAATTGTTTTTTACCTGGTAGTGGCCAAAATGAGCCTCCTGAGAAGGTAAACAGATGGGACTGTGGTTTAAGGGAGAAGCAGGATTCTGGGAAGTGTTTCTGTTTTAAAAAGTGAATTCTGGGGGACCAGCAGTTAGCATAATGGCTATGTCGCTGGACTCCCATGTAGTCGACCGCAGTTCATGTCCTGGACCCAGTGGCTTAAACTCACATCAGGCGCATGTGCGTGCGTGCCCAAGATCCAGAGAGGAGAATGGAGGAGAAGGGATTGCAGCATGGCCATCCCCCCTGGGGGGGGGGGATTTCTTGCTTTCTGTCTCTCTGTCTCTGTTTGTCTGGGGAGTGCACACATCCTATAGCAAAAACCTCTAAAAAAAAAAAGAATTAAAAAAAAAGTGAATTCTGGGACCAGTAGTTAGCATAATGGCTATGTCACTGGACTTTCATGTAGTGGACTGCGTTTCGAGTCCCGGGCCTGGTGGCTTAAACTCCCCGGGTGCATGTGCGTGCATGCCCAAGAGCCCGAGAGAGGAGAATGGAGAAGGGATTGTGGCTTGGCCATCCCCCCTGGGGGGGGGTGATTTCTTGCTTTCTGTCTCTCTGTCTCTGTTTGTCTGGGGAGTGCACACATCCTATAGCAAAAACCTCTCTGAAAAAAGAAAAATAAATGAATTCTGTTCTAGAGAAGGAGGATAGCCTAGCCCATGCAGAGGCAGAGGTCAGAAGGGCCAGAAGCCGGTTGGAAGAAGGAGAGGTGGTGTCACAGCCTGCCCAGTCACAGAGGGCAGGGAGGCCGGTCAGAGGCCACCCACAGTGGTGCCCAAGCCGTGGTCTGCAGCCACCATGCGCTGGGGACTTGTGGTGGGCCAAACAGATCCTAGCCCTGCCTTGCAGTCCAGAGCGACAGATGGAAATTAACTAAATCATCACTTTATTTTAAGCAGTGGCACAGGCAGGAGGCACAGCCAGGCCTGTAGGAGGGTGGTGGCAGGCCTGCCTGGTATTCAGGCAGCCAGGACGGCTGGCACCCTGAGGAGGCCACAGCTGTACTCCTCCTGTAAACTCAGGGGGCCAGTGACTGGACAGGCATCTCCCAGAAGCTTTGTGGCAGGAGGGGGCCTGGAGCTGAGGAAGAGCAGGGTGCTCCACTCCGGGCAGCAGCCTACGCTGCTCCTGCTGGGACGGCCTGCTGAGCCCTGGGGCTGCAGTCAGTGCCCTCCACTGAGCGCACACGCAGCTGCACATACGTCTGCCATAGGAGCTGACGGGTTGTGAGCGAGAGGGCGATTTGCAAGGTGCCTTCTTAGGTGTGGTCCGGGCACTTGTGCCGACCAGCAGAAGGGCCTTCGCAACCTGGCGCTTGTGGGAGGGGGCAGGGTGTGCTGAGAATTGCCAGGGAGCGACCTAGAATACCCCGGAACGACCGACCGATCCGGTCCGCCTGAATGCAGAGCCCGTGGCTGCGTGCTGGAGCTGGGTGCTGGCGCTGGTCAGCGCCCCTTTTGCTAGTGTCGCTGAGGCCTTGGGCGCAGTCTGGGGTGCAGACTGCAGCTGGAGAAAGCAGAAAGGCCCCTCCCCGGGGGTGGTGGGCCGACTCGGGCTGTCCTCCAGACGGCACGTGGCCAGGGCCGGTCAAATTCGCCAGTGGCTGTCGCACAGAATCGTTCGCAGCCTGTAGGTGCCGCAGGCGCTCGCACAGGGTCTGGCTTGGCCAAACCTCTCTGGGCCTGCAGGCGCCGAGGCCGGGCTTCCGCTGTCTGGCAGGGCGCCGGGCCGCGGTGCAGGCGCGTCCGGGGGCGTGTCGGCCGGGGCGTGCTGGGATCCGGGCTCCGGGGCGTGTCCCGGCTCCGGGGCGGGGCGCCTTGCAGGGGC